ATTTGCATATTACTCTTTTATTAGCTAGGATAGAGGCCTGGTGCACGGGTTGGGGCTGGCAGATAATGGCAAGTGCTGCCAACACATCCTTGGCAGCACTTGCCATTATCTGCCTTTTTTGTTCTAGACATCCTAGTGCATGTGACAGTTGAGGGGGAACGTGGATCAGGGTTGAGGTTCCCTTGGGGTGTGAGGTGGCTTGGGTGAAGGGCCCGTGGTGGTTTTCAGGCCAGCCATGCCCAACCCCCCTCCCCCAGTGACCCAAGCATAGGCTGGAAGCAGGTATCTGGGATTTATTTATCTTCTATAATTGAAATTTTGTAGCCTTGAGCAGAGTCCAGGGCAGGCCAAGACAAATGGGAAGCTTGGCTTCCTCTATTGCTGGGGGCAACCCAAGCCTCCTGCTTGTTCCAGCTCATGGCTACCGCCATCTTGGTTGGGTTAATTTGCATACTGATTGGCTGGTGGGCGTGGCTTGCAGCCATAGTGAGGGTACAGTCAATTTGCATGTTTTTCTTTTATTAGATAGGACTAGAGGCCTGTTACACGAAATTTGTGCCTGGGGGGTTGTCCCTCAGCCCAGCCTGCACCCTCTCTAATCTGGGACCCCTTGGGGGATGTCCAACTGCTGGTTTAGGCCTGATCTCATAGAATCGGGCCTAAACCGGCAGTCGGAAATCCCTCTCACAATCCGGGACCATTGGCTCCTAACTGCTTGCCTGTCTGCCTGCCTGATTGCCCCTAACCGCTTCTGCCTGCCAGCCTGATTGCCTCCTAACTGCTCCCCTATCAACCTGATCACACCCAACTGCCCTAACCTGCTGCAACCTGACTCCTCCATAGGGACCTGCCTCCTCTGTGTGACATGGTGGAGACACTGGGCCCAGCCTCCGCTGTGCATGCAGCCATCTTGTGATGGCCATCTTGTGACAATGTGAGGGCGTGACGACCACTTAGGGTATTATTAGTATAGATTGCTATGAATACCTTGTACAATTTTTATGTGTAGAAATGTTTTCATTACTTTGTGTAGTTACCTAGGAATAGAATTTAGATGTAGAATTCTAGGTCACATGGTAACTCCGTTTAAGATTTGGGGGAACTGCTAAAGTAACTTCTAAAGTGGCTGCATCATTTTACATTCTACCAGCAATGTATGAGTTTCTCCACATCCTTGGCAGCACTTGCCATTATCTGCCTTTTTTGTTCTAGACATCCTAGTGCATGTGAAGTGGTATTTCAAGGTGCTGCCATGACAACCAACAGTGTTGAACATCCTTCCATGTGCTTATTGACCACTCATGCATTTTCTTTGGAGTATGTATTCATTCCTTTGTATGGTTGAAATAGATTCCATTAGTGAACATTTGGATTCAACTTGCCTTTTGGCTATTATGGACAATGCTGCTATAAACATTCACATATAAGTTTTTCTGTGGACATATGTTTTCATGTCTCTTGGGTTTGTGCGTAGGTGTGGAATTGTACCATTTTACATCCCAATCAGTAGTATATGAGGCTCTTATTTATCCACATACTTAATAACACATGTTACTTTATCCCATTCTGTGGGTTATCTTTTCATTTTCTTGAGGGTATACTTTGAAGCATAAAAGTTTTAAAATTTGAGGACATAACTTTATCTTTTTTCTTTTGTAGCTTATGCTTTTGTTATGTGTAAAACCCCTTTGCCATACAGTAATTCTATTTTTAATTTTTTGAAGAGTCTCCCAGGAATTCCACTGCTGGGTTATTATCCAAAACACTAATTTGAAAAGATAGATGCACCACTATGATCATTGCAGTGTTATTTACAATAGCCAAGATTTGGAAGCAACCTAAGTGCCTATGAATAGATGACTGGATAAAGAAGATGTGGTACCTATATACAATGAATATTATTTGGCCATAAAAAAGAATGACATCCTACCATTTACAACAATATGAATGGATATAGAGCAGCAGTTCTCAACCTGTGGGTTGCGACCCCTTTGGGGGTCAAACGACCCTTTCACATCATATCAGATATTTACATTATGATTCATAACAGTAGCAAATTACAGTTATGAAGTAGCAATGAAAATAATTTTATGGTTGGGGGTTACCACAACATGAGGAACTGTATTAAAGGGTCACGGCATTAGGAAGGTTGAGAACCACTGATCTAGAGGGTATTGTGCTAAGTGAAATAAGTCGGACACAGAGAGAAAAATGCCATATTATTTCACTTATATATGGAATCTAAAGAAAAAAAATAAACATACCAGTAAAACAGAAACAGACTAATAGCTAAAGGTGTTAGATGAGAGGGGATAGGGGGCTGGGTGAAAAAGAGGAAGGGATTAAGAAGTACAAATTGGTGGGCACAGAATAGTCATGAAGATGCAAAGTACAGCACAGGGAATATGGTCCAAATGGAATAGCTATGCATGGTGCCTGGTCGGTACTAGACTTTTTGGGAGGATCACTTCGTAAATTATATAAATGTCTACCCACTATGCTGTACCCCTGAAACTAATATAAAATAATACTGAGTGTCAACTATAATTGAAAATTCTTTGTGAAATCCAAGGTTATGAAGGTTTACCCAAGTTTTCTTCAAACTTTAATAGTTTTAGCTCATACATTTAGGTATTTGATCCGTTTAAATTAACTTATGTATGCGGTGTGATGTAAGGTCCAAGTTCATTCTTTTACATGTGGTTATTCACTTATTCAGTTTATTAAAAAGAGTATTATTTCCTCCACTGAGTTGTCCTGCTACCTCTATTGAAAATTAATTGACCTAAATATAAGGGTTTGTTCCTGAACTCCAACTTCTATTTCATTGACCAACTGTCTGATTACAGCAGCTGTGTAGCAGTTTTGACATTGAGAAGTATGAGTCCTTCAGCTTTGTTTTCTTTTTTAGATTGTTTTGACTATTCTGGGTTCCTTGCATTTCATTATGAATTTTTGGATCTGCTTGTCAATATCTGCAATAAAGTCCGCTGAAATTGTGGTAGGGATTGTGTTATATCACTTTGGGAAGGACTGCCCTTTAAAGAATATTAAGTCCTCTGATCCATGAGCATGAGATTTCTTTCACCTTATTTAGATCTTCTTTTTGATACATGAATCATTTTATTCATTAACAAAATTCAGACCTTTCACTGTTACTCATTAATCCTTTTTTTAAATTATCTTAATTGTTGAAAGTATTACAGATGTTCCCTTTTTTCCTCACTGACACCCTTCATCTTGTCCCCCTGCCCCAGGTCTTCACCACACTACTGTCTGTGTCTTTAATTATCTTCAACACTATTTTGTAGTTTTCTTGACTTTTGTTAAATTTAGTTATAAATATTTTATTCCTTTTGATGCTATTGTAAACTAAATTGTTTTCTTATTTTTATTTTCAGAGGGTTGTTTGCTAGCATATAGATAAACAATTGAATTTTGTATATAATCTTGTATCCTGCTTTCTTATGTGGCTATTGAGATAATAATGTTGTTTTAGTTGTTTATTCTATTTGGATGTTTAAACCAACCTTACATGTTTGGGATAAATCCTACCTGCCCGTATAATATCTTTTATGAGCTACAGGATTTGGTTTGCTAGTGTTTAATTGAAAATCTTTGAATCCATATTCATAAGAGATTTTGATGTATAGTTTTCTTTGCTTTTCCTCTGTCTCTCTCTCTCTCTCTCTCTCTCTCTCTCTCTCCCTCCCTCTCTCCCTCCCTCCCTTCCTCCTTCCCTCCCTCTTTTGTAATGTCTTTGGTATAATACTTGTCTCCTACAGTGAGTTAAGACTTGTTCCCTCTTCTATTTTCTGGAAGAGTTTATATAAGATCGGTACTAATTTTTTAAATGCTTGGTAGAATTCACCAGTGAAGCCACGTGGGCCTGAGTTTTTCTTTGTGGGACATTTTAAATTGAATACTTCAATCTCTTCGCTTATAATTGTTCTATTAAGATTATCTCATATTGAGTCAGTTTGGCAGTTTCTGTGGTAGAGGGCCGCCTGGAAAGGCACATGGGCATTTCTTTTAATTGTTGCCAGCTGAGACCAAGACGATTGACAGAGCCGCGTCTAGGATACACATTTCCCCAAGATGGTGGACTTGTTATCAGCTTGGCCTTCATATCAGCCCAGGTGCCAGTAGGGGCAGGACTAGGTATGTAAATCCAGGCAATGGTAGGGCCTAGTAAGAATGCAAATAAGTTGGTGTTACTTCCTGGTATTGGGGTATAAAATAAATGCGCTGGGAGGGGTCGTAGTCTTCCTGCCTCTCCAGCAGACAGGATGGCGGCCCACCCAGCTCCCAGCTCAAAATCTATCTCCGTGTCTTCTCTCTTTATTTCTAACATTTCTCAATTCCTGGCCGCCTCCACTTAGAACCAGTTCATTCATCTCTCTTTCCGTGCGGGATGTGGAAAAGGGAGATCCCCGCCATGTTTGGCCCCTGCAGTGTCGTGTCCATTTCATCTCAGTTATCTGATGGGTTGGTATACAGTTGTTCATATTATTCCCTTGTATTCATTTTAATTTCTATGCGTTGGTATTGATGTTCCCTCTCTTTTAATTTTAATAATTTGTGACCTCTCTTTTTTCTTAATCTTTAGCTAGAGATTTGCCAATGTTGTTTTGGATTATGTACCACTTTTATAATCAAATTATTATTAGAAGTCATAAAACGTGGGGCTAATCCTTACAACTGGAGGTGAGGGAACATCAAGATAAATTCAAGCTTTTGCTGCCCATTCCTCCTAAATGCCAGTATGATCGAACCCAAGACTTACTATTGTTATTATTGTTTAAAGTATTAAATATATTTCCTTTTCCCCATAATTCTCTTCACCACCTCTGCTTGGAGTGGTGCTTGGGGGGAGCTTGGGTACCACAGGCAGCTGGTGCCTTGGTCATCACTCAGCAGCAGTGATGGGCCCTAAGCTGTGGGCGGGGATCATCTCATACCCGGGGCCCCATGCCATTCGGCCTGATGGCATCACTCACCGGTACTGTTTCTGCCGTGTTTCCAGTTCTAGGCGCCTGTGCTGCTTGAGAATGTGAATCTGGTCATCGCGGGCCAGCTTTGCTGTGGGGAAAGGCACGTGTGAGAAGAGCTAAGGACGAATGACATTACGGCCAACACCAGGGTTTCCCTCCGGCTCCTGCCCCTGCTTCACCTGGGTCCTCTCATTGAAGCCTCAGGACTCTATTTACTAAATGGGCCTCAGGCAGGTTGAAGGTTACTCAAGGTCACACACCTAATCAGTAGGTTTGTACACAAGACTCAAACCCCGCGCTCCTAATCACTCCTTTTCCAAAAGACAACTGCAGTCTCTCCTGCTGCTCACTCCGCAGCTGGCAGCCTGCAGCCTGCGGATCCTCCCGGTGCCTGGCCAGGCCTGTTTCCCAGGAGGCTTTTCGGGCACAGACAGCGACTCTCTGTCCCCCTCCTACAGGGACCGTGCGTGCCCACTGTGGCCACCTGCAGACTGTCACCTGGAGGCTCCATCTCCCGCTCGCCACAGGCATTGCTCTGCAGGAGTCCCGGTGCTGCCTCTCAGGTGGCCCTCGCTGGGTGTCTTTAAACGGCTCAGAACCGGCCCATTCCCTGCAGTTCCCGTGCAGAGCAGCCGGAACAGCTGCCACGAGCCCCCGTGCCCAGCTGTGGCCCTATAGCAGCAGCTGCCCGTAGCTCTCGTGTTTCCAAGCCCAACTGGCTGCCTCCCGGAGAATCGTGTGACTTAAGATCCAACGTACAGATGCCGACACCACCCATTCTGCCTGCTGCCTGCTCAGAGGATGAGAACGGAACCTGACTCCGCAGCAGGACGTGGTGTCCTAGAGCAGTGTTTCCCAACCTTCTCTCATGATGAGAATCACCTGGTGGAGTTGTTAAAACACAGATTCCTGAATCCCAACTAAGAAGTGCTAAACTAGAATTTTTGGGAACATATAGGTAAAATTGTATACTTAACTAGTGCTCTAAGACAGATTTTATATACAGAGCACTAAGTTAGGTATGCAATTTTACCTATATGTTCCCAAAAATTCTAGTTTAGCACTTCTTAGTTGGGATTCAGGAATCTGTGTTTTAACAACTCCACCAGGTGATTCTCATCATGAGAGAAGGTTGGGAAACACTGTCCTAGACTGGCCCCGCTGCCTTGGCTTCCTTACAGGGGAAATGGAGGTAAAGTGCCCATTTCAGGTCCTGGTGGGATGTAGTGAGAGAGCAGAGCAGAGCCCCCACGCAGTGCTCGGCACCAGGAACCGCCCAGGAAGTGGGAACAATGGCCATTGTCCTTATATCCCAATGGACTGAGCCTCTCTCCTCCCTCTGAGCCTGGCTGCTAAGTCTCTCATCTCTCACTCAGGAGTGGGCAGGGGCTGGGGTGAGGGGGGTGCGGCGCAGGGGGAGGGGGAATGACAGAGGGGCAGAGGCCGAGTGCCCTGTTCCTGTTATTTCAGTGCTGACAGTGGGCACAGTCACGGTGTTCCTGAGCATCAGGGGCTCCAGGCTTTCAAAACTTCCATTCCATCACAGACTGATTTTTTTTTTAAAGCACACTATAAATTAACTACTAAAAACAAAAATAAAAAATAAGCCAAAGACATTCAACAGGCATGCCCTGGTTTTATTACCAGCTGCAGTAGCCACAGACTTATCCTGGCCAGCTGCTCTTAAAGCTGGCCTGCTCCCAGCCTCCGGCTCCTGCTGGCATCGACCCCACGGTGCTACACACACTCCTGCCACGTGGTTCCCCCAGAGCCAAGGCTGTGACCTCTTCCTGAGGTCAGGGGACACAACTCTTCCAGCTCCAGTCCTTCAGTTCAGACATTTTCTTGGAATTTGGCTTTGTAAGTTAAACCCGTGTCGGAAACAACGGGTGTGCCTGATCGTGTAAGAACACTGGATAGAGAGGGACCTTTTCCTCCTTTGTTTAGTTTTCTTAGCTAAGAAGGGGCCGGTAATCACTTTACTTGGCGGGACTTCAGTGAAGAGCAAAAGAGCCAGCGAGAGGAAGCCATTGCACTAAGGTAGGGGTGTCAAACTCAATCAGAGAAGGGGCCAAAATCTAAAATCCAGCCTAAATCGCGGGCCGAATGGTTTACTGAACAGTCATAAACTGTCATTGTGATGGAAACGCAGCGGAGTGCAGTGATGACAGCGCGGTGCGGGCCACATTGCAAGGCCTGGCGGGACGAATTTGGCCCGCGGGCCTTGTGTTTGACACATGTGCACTAAGGGATGCTAAGGGGCACAGGGGCAGAGGCAGCGGCCCCTCCTCGTTCTGGGGGTGCATGCCACCTGCAGGCTTATTTCTCCAGGTTTGGAGTGAGCACACTGCCGGGCCAGCACGTGAAGTAAGGCGGGAACCTGCCGAGCCTGGCTGGTGCCCGCAGGCTGGGGCTGGAGTGCAGAAAGCGGGCGGCAGGCTGACCTCTGCCCGGTGCTTCCTGCGCACCGGCCAGCCGCTGCCTCCTGTGCAGAACGGCTGCCAAGGCAGCGCCAGGCTGGGCATGCAAGGGTGAGGGGCCTGCTTCAGAGGGCAGATTTTAGGGTCTTTTCTCTTTCAACAAAAGGTGGGACTTCGCTTTTAACACCTGGTGACGGTGACGGTGACGGTGACGGCAGACCCAGCCCGCCCGCAGCCTCCGGGTGGGGCCCTGTGGTGACGGCACCCAGGGCATGCAGGGCTGGGTGTCTGGAGAGCTGCCCCGTTAGGGGTACGTACCCCCAGGGGCACTTGTAATTGGGGAGCCTCGTTACCCCTTGGACAACTACAGCTCAGGGACCCCATGCTGGCCTGAGCCTGGGCCGCGGGCTCCACCCGGGAGCCGGGTCTGCTAGCAGGGGGAGGGTCACGCCTCCTGCAGGTGCTTCGAGGCCCAGAGCAGAGCCTGCCCGGGCGGTGGTTACTGTGCCCCCCGGGGACACAGTTCCCTGGGGAGGGGTCTGCGAGTGCTCACCTCGGCCGTCTCGGAGCACCACCTCGCCCTCCCCGGTGAGCCAGCGGTAGCAGGGGAACTCGATGTAGTCCCCCGAGGGCGTCTTCAGCGTGACGTACTTCAGGTACCAGTCATCATGCAGCCAGTACTTGCGCTTCTCGATTTTGACCAGCTGGATGTCGCCCAGCTCCTCGTCCACCGTCACGTCGTAAGAATCCACCTGCGAAGGAGCAAAGGCAGTGAGGCTGCCGAGGCCGCGGAGCCGGTGCCACCTGTGGCCGCGCCCGGGGGTCTGCAGGTGCCTGTCCTCTGGCTGCGGGACCGGCTGCGGGGCTGCGCGCTGGAGGCAGGGGCTGTGGGACCCGGACTCAGGCCAAACCAGACCCCACCATCCCTGAGCTTCCCCCTCGGCGCAGAGCCCGGAGCTCTCAGCGTGCCTGGCAGGCCGTGGGGGGCAGGCTGTTCGTGGTGCACCCATCTCCGGGCGCCTTACCCTTCTCCTGCCAGCAGCACCCTGAGGGGCTTGGTCAGGAAAACGAGAAATTGGGTGCTGTCAGAGACCTCTGGGCTCGCAGGCTGTGGCAGCCGCAGGCGCCAGACACTGTGGTTAGAAATCAGAAGCCGCCTTCCTGTGTGCCCTGCGGTCTGGGCCTGGGCCCCGAGGACAAGGAGCCAGGTGTGTGTGGCAGATGACACTTCCCTGCAGTCTGGGCAGAGCGGTGGCTCCAGGGGAAGTGGCTTTTCCGTGGCTCCGAGGGGCTGAGGTGTCCTGGGGTTGAGGCAGGAAGGCAGGGGCTCGGGGGAGAGGACAGCCATTCCCCAGGAGCAGGTGCAGAGCATCCTGGTGGACTCTCTCCTGGGGGGAGGGGCCGGCGCCTGGGTCTGGGAAGGACAGTGCGGGCTCACGGCCTCTGGGGCTGGCGGCTCTCAGAAGCAAGGCCAGCTGTCCGGATGGGGTGGTGACCGGCATGGACAGGAGGGCAGCTCCCCTGAGGGCGGGGAGAGCAGGGCCCCCGGTTTCCCGCCCGCCCGCCCTGTAGGCTGGCGGAGGGCTTTGGGGTCTCACCCAGGATAGACAGACGGCAGGACTCCTGTATGCCATCTGACAGTCTTTGCTGGGCTAGAGGAATACGCCTGCCAGTCTGGCGGCTGGCTGACCGGCCCCAGCTTTAAACTCAGAGCTCAGGAGGCGAGCAAGCATCTGAGGGGTTCAGGCCCCGCAGCCCAGCAGCCTCTCAGGCATGAGGTCTGGCTGCTGTGGTGTTGGCACCCTCCGGAGCCACTACTGGTCAGTCACAGAGAACAGAGACAGGCTCCCAGCAGGCTGCTGGGTCCCAAGCATCGAATCACAAGACAAGTCTTAGGAAGGTCCCACATCGCTCCCTCCCCTGGGGCCGGTGCCAGGTGGCTGCTCTGCTGTCTGTTCGCCTTGACATGTTGAATTCCCACGCCCATTCAGCAGGGTGGACACCGTCAGCAGTGGGTGGCCCCTACCCAGCCCTCAGTCAATGCAAAGCGTGTGCATCGCTGCATGGATGGTTCCCATCTCACAGAAGGAAACAGGCTCCCAGAAGTCAGGCAGCTGCCAGCCTTGGTGCAACGGTGGCCCCAGGACTGCAGTCCGCACCTGTCTGGTGGCCAGTCCAGTCCTCCACCGCCCCTGAGGCCACGTGGTGGGAAAAGCCCGGACAGGGAGCCGGTGACCTGGCTCTGAGCCCTGGTCCACCCCTCGATGGAGATGAAGAAGCGGTGTGGGTGGGGGGAGGGCATGGAATAGCGTCCTCAGAGGTGGCATCTGAGGCAGCTCCTGGGACTCAGTAACATGTCAGAGGCGAGGTGAGCGGGAGGAGAGGGGTGGGCAGGCCATTTCCATTAGGAAAGGAGAAAGCGAGATCCTCCAGGCAGCGGGCGGCTGGAGCAGGGGCTCCCTGAGCAGAGGGGCAGGAGCTGCGGGCAGACGCCGGAGAGAGACACGGAGCCGGGAAGCATGCCCTGCACCAGCCTCGGTTTGTGGAGGACCACCTGGCTGATTTCACTGGCTGTTCTGGACTCGTTTTTAAATTTCAGCCAAGTGTTGGCTGGCCCTTTTCATCTGATTTTTGTATCAGCATTTTAAGGAGGTTTCACTTTCTCTGCCCGGATCCCTGCTGTTGCTGTGACAGGATCTCTGCTGCAGCAAGGACGGGAAGGGCCAGGCACAGACAGCCCGGGGGCCCATCATGGGGGGCACGTGGGGCTGATGGGGAGAGGAGGAGGCTATAGAACAGAGACAGAGGGAGATTAAGGGGTGGACAAGGGAGAGACTGGGGTAGACAGAAGGAGAAAGGGGGCAGTGGTTAGGGAGATGGAGGGGGAGAATGGGTGAGCAGGAGGAAAATGGGAGCCAGAATGGAAAGAGAAGTTGGAGCAGAGAAGAGAGAAATTGGGGTTTGAGGGATGGTGGGAACAGTAGAGGAATAAAGGGAGCAAGAAGGGGAGGCAGATGTGGGGAAGAGAGGGGGCAGAGAAGAAAGACCGGGGGATAGAGATTGAGGAGCAAAAAGAAATATTTATTCCTCATTAATATATCCTAAGAATGAGGTGTTCTAGAATGTATTCTTCATAAATGTATTATCAGAATATTCACAGAAAATATTCAAGAAGTATATATAATTGTAAGAATTGCTTACACTCCCTAAATATATTCCAGGATAACTTATTGCGCTTAGCTTTCCTAAAGAATGAAAATGGGTCAAGCTAGGTTTCCCAGAAACGTTCTATCTGCTACAGCCACGCCATTTTACCTGAGTTATTTTCAATCAACCGAGCGAAGGAAACATGCCAGTTGGCTAAATTGGCCCAGACACGGGCTGTCTCTGGGCTCTCAGGTCTGCAGTCAGGTGTTCCCTGCAGACACCGAGGGGCCCATGGACAGGGCTGTTTCCGGAGAATCTGACCAGCGAAGGACTCCAGCTCCCAGTCCTGCCTACGCCACTCTGCAGGCTGCTGCAGGGAGCAGCCAGGGGCCTGGGTTCCATTTATCTAGAAACAAACATCAGTCCTCTCCGTTATCTGGCTGACTTGTGGAAGCCAGATAACACCCATGATCTGCCCATGTCTGGAGATGTCTGACTGGTTGTCTGGCAATAGTCGTTGCTGCCCCTGTTATTGACCATCGCGATTGTCACACTTTTCTCGTAACATGGATACCTTTATCTTCTCAGCAAGTACTTCCTCTAATTTTTTCTTTCACCTTTACCCAAAAGGGACAGATCGTCCTTAAAGAGACGCTGGCAGGAGAATGGGGAAGTCGCCCTGGGCTGTGCAAGACGGAGTGGAGAAACTTTGCGTCAACAGGAACTTTCTCAAAAGCTGGTTGTTTTCAGAGCCTTTCCTGGCCAGCTGGGTCTCTGCATGAAGCAGCTGCCCTGACTGCCCTCTCCCCCCATGGAAATGTGAATGCAAATGGCCCCTGAAATTTGCTTCTGAGACACTGGCTGAGGTGTGGAATCACACGGGCATTTAAATGAGTCCTCGGGGGTTGGAGGACAGGAGAGAGGGAGGGGGATAGGAGCAGAGCGGGCTTCCAGCCCTCTGCCAACAGCCTGTGTGGGTCACACCTCTGTCTTCGGGGCTGCACCGTGAGGACCTGCCATGTGCGTGTGTGGGCAGGGAGAGGCGGCCGCAGATAAAGGGGAAGCAGTCTGCATCCTGCCCCTGTGGGGCATCCATCAGTAACAGACGCACACGGATGACTGACTAGCCCCCCTGTTCACAGGGCCAGGTCCCGGGCGGGGCAGCCTGCACCCGGAGGTGGTCCTCACAAGCAACACCTGTCTCTCCGTGAAGACTAATCCAGGGTGGGGCAAAAGTAGGTTGAGGATGGGAAATAATGCAGGCCTGGCCGGTAGCTCAGGTCAGAGCGTCAGCCTGCTCACGGAAGGGTCATGGATTTGATTCCCAGTCAAGGGTACATATTTGAGTTGCAGGTTCGATCCCAGGCCCCAGGAGGGGTGGGTTCAAGAGGCAACCAATCCATGTGTCTCTCTCTCATGGGTGTTTCTCTCCTCATCCCCTATTCCTCTCCCCCATCCCCAACTGTCCCTTTCACTTAATGGGGAAAATATCCTTAGGTGAGGATTAACAAAATAAACAAACAATAAAAGGAAATCACACAAGAATAAATAATGACACAAGAATAAACTGTGCATTGCATACTCACACTGTAACCCTGCATTTGTCCACCCTGTATGCTGAGCTTGGCTAAGCGCCCAGTCCGCCTCCAGCGAGGATCTGAGGCTCCAGAGCAGCAGCCTAGCCCGCCCGAACCTGGGCCTGGGGAAGGGGGGGCTGCGGCCACAGGCTCCATGCTCCGCAGCCCCAGAGCTCACTGCACGGATGAATCCATAGCGTTTGGCCGAACCATATGAAATCGCCACTTTGTCTGCCAAGCGTAATGGACTCGGAGCAATTTTATATGGTTCGACCTTATAATTCACGAGGTGGTGAGAAGACGCTTTGCGAAGCCTACACGTGTTGGTCCCGCTCAGGGGCTGGGGCGCAGAGGGAACAGCATTCCGTGGGCCTCGCAGGCCCCCCCCCCCCCCCACCCCGGCCCGGGGCGGCGCAGCGGCCGGCCGCAGGCTCCGGGCTGAGCTGGTGCCTGAGCCTCCCAGCCCGCTGCCCAGGGAGGACCCTGTGCACTCACACAGCCCCTGGCCCGCGGCCCGGGGTGCAGTGCTTCCTGCCCCTCCAGCCCCGGGCCTCCGGGAAGAGGTGGGAGGGGAGTCCCCCGCCCCCAGCCCTCACACGGGGACGCTCCCTGGTGCACACCTGCTGCCCCGCAGGCCTTTCCCCTCCCGGGTTCTCCTGTTCCTCCTAAACACCTCTGGGGCCGTCCTGACAGGCGGCAGCTCAGTGTGCAGACATCTGCTAGCACATTTGGGAAACTGAGGCCCGGGGGGGGGGGCAGTGAGCCCGTGGTCAGGCCCGGATGGAATCAGGTCCCTGGACGCCGACCTGCGCTGTGTCACAGCTGGCGGCGGCTCCAGGCCCTCTGCGCTCCAGCGGGGCGGGACCCGCGGGGTCCCTGTCCGCACCCCCCTCGCCCCGGAGGGGCCTCGGCCCCGGTGTGAATGGGGAGCAAACCTGGACCTCCCGCGCCCCGGGGCGCAGAGCCTCGCCTAGACCAGACCGGACCGTGGCCCGACGGCCGGCTCCCCGGGCCGGTCCCCCAGGGGGGCTGCTGGGCCCGGAGGGGCTGCCGGATGGAGGGCCCCGGTCCGCCTGCCCGCCCCGCCGCCGCCCCGCCGCTCACCGCGCCGCGCTCGAAGTCGTTGTAGAAGGCCTTGTCCAGCAGGTGCCTCTCGCTGCAGCCCGTGCTGCCCACCAGGCTGAGGTAGATGTAGTCGTCGGTGCCCGCGAACCACTGGCTGCCGGTGGCCACGGTGACCGTGTAGGAGGGCATGGCGGCGGCCAAGGCTCGGAGCGGGAGCCTCCGCCTGGTCCCTCCGCGCCGGTCCCTCCGCCTGGTCCCCGAGCGCCACCCGGACCCGGCCCCGCCCCCGCGGCCCCGCCCCGGCCCCGCGGCCCCGCCTGGAGGGGGCGCCCGGGCGCCAGGCACCTCCTGCGTCCCCCTGCTCTGCGCGGCGTCCGTCTTAGGACCGAGGGGCCCGGGGCAACCTCAGCTGCCATCCCTCATCCATCCGTCCCTCATCCATCCGTCCCTCATCCATCCGTCCCTCATCCCTGCAGCCACCCATCCTCCCACCCCCAGTCCCTCTCTCCGTTACATTCTGCGCTCTCACTCCTGCTCAGCTTCCCCCAGGGAGCGGATGGGGCTGGGCTCCGGGACCCCAGAAAACCTGCTCTCCCCAAGTTCCCAGGGCCCGTGGGCGCGGGAGCAGTCCCCCCTCTGCGTGCTCCCGGGTCCGGAGCGGGGGAGGGAGCACCGGGGACGGGGACGGGGCGGCCACACCCGAATCCACACCACGGGGCTGGGCCCTGTCAGCTCGGCTCCCGCCACTCCGGGGGGGTGCAGGTAGGAACCGGGGGGACAGCGGCCAGCCACGCCCAGGCCGTAAGATGGGCTGGATATAGTGGGAGGCAGGGCAGCCAGGGAGGGAGAGACCTGGATGAGAAACCCCAAATCTAGACGCTTAGGGGACTCCTGAGGGGAGGGCTGCGGAGCGGGGCAGGCGGCGGGCAGCGGGAGTGGACCCGTGCCTGGAGGTCCCGGGAAGAAGATGGGGACCACAGGGGGTGCTCCCACAGATAGAGATGGCATGGGGGAACGCCCCCCCCCCTCCCGTTGACTTTCTAGGTGAGGGGCGGGAGCCTGGGAAGGCCTTAGTGGAAGGCTCTGTGCACTGGAAGGCAGCTTCCCAACTCCTCTGACCTGGTCTCAGCAATCCTCTCTATTCGCCTACACGCTCTCATCCCCCTCCCTCCGTGCCACACATCCGGTGGAGAGCTGGACCAAATTAAAACCAGCGGATTCCATGCGCGGTGGAGGCCATGTCACATCACCTGCTTTGTGTGCTCATTGAAATGGAGGCTTGAGATGCTGACAAAGATGCAGGTCACAGGCAGGCTCCCCGTTTCTGAGCCTGGGCTGTACCTGGGGGCAAATCCCGCCGCCATGGCAGGACCAGGACTGTGGGCAGAAAGAGGGCACCGTCCCACCTCTGCACCTGGGGATGAGGTCAGATGGCTTTACTCATCGAAAGACAGGCACCAAAAGATTTTTATTTTTATTACTAGAATAATTTATTTTCCTGCACATCCATGCTGATCAAAGTTTGTTTTTTTTTTTTTTTAATAATTCTTTATTGTTGAAAGTATTACATAGGTCCACTTTTCCCCCATGAACCGCTCTCCAGCCCGCTCTTGCCCTCCACCCAGGCCCGCTGTGTCTGTGGGCCATGCATTTTCTAGTAGGCATACAAGGTCCTTGGTGAATTGCTTCCCATCCACCCACCCACCCCCACCTTCCCTCCAAGATTCCACACTCTGTTCCATGTCTCTGGATCCACTTTGCTCATCAGTTTATTTTGTTACTTAGATGCCACATATGCATGAGATCATATGATACTTGTCTTTCTCTGCCTGACTTATTTCACTTAGCATGATACTCTCCAGGTCCCACCATGCTGTCTCAAAGGGTAAGAGCTCCTTCTTTTTTACAGCTGCATAGCATTCCATGGTGTGAATGTACCACAGCTTTTTTATCCACTCATCTGCTGATGGGCACTTAGGCATCCTCTGCCCTTTCCAGCTACGAATTGTCTCACAAGCTGGGTTTACTTCCAATTTCAGGTGGATGTTATTTGATTTAGATGCTCCTTTTATCTGCTCTAGGATAAGACTTGAGACAGATCTGCCTATTCAGCTGCCATATTTTCCTTCTCTCAGCTCTAATCTTTATTATTTCCTTCCTTCTACTTACACTGGGCTTTTCTTCTTATTGTTCTCTTTCTAATTCTTTAAGTTATAGAGTTAAATGGTTTATTGTTGATTTTTCTTGTGTTTTGAGGTAGGCCTGTAGTGCTATGAATTTACCTCTCAGGACTGCTTTTGATCTGTTCCAGAGATTTTGGATTGTGTTTGTCCATTTTTATTTGTTACCAGCAAGTTTTTTTTTTTTATTTCTTTATTGATCTCTTTGGTAACCCATTCATTGTTTAATAGCACGCTATTTAGCCTCCATGTGTTTGAATGCTTTGGGGTCTTCTTACTGTAGGTGATTTCTAATTTCATTCTAATATCAAGTATCTGAGAACATACTTGATATGATTTCAATCTTCTTGAACTTCTAGAGACTTGTTTTGTGTCCTAACATGTTATCTATCCTTGTGAATGATCCATGTGTACTTGAGAAGAATGTATATTCTGCAGCATTGGGGTGAAATGTTTTATAAATGTCAATTAAATCCATCTGACCCAGTGTTTCCTTTAGAGTCACTGTTTCCTTGTTAGTTTTTTGTCTGGAAGATCTATCCAGTGAAGTCAGTGGAGTTTTAAAGTCCACTACTATGACTGTATTGTTGTCAATCTCTGCCTTAAACTCCTCTAGAAGTTTTTTGTTTGTTTGTTTTATGTATTTAGGTGCTCCTATAGTGGATACATATATGTTACCAGTGTCATATACTTTTGTTGGATGGATTGATCCCTTTAGAATTATGTAATGACCTTTGATGTCTCTTGTGATGGCCTTCATTTTGAAATCTATTTTGTTGGGTATGAGTATTGCTACTTCAGCCTTTTTTCTTTTCCATTTGCATAGACAATTTTTTCCATCCCTTCACTCTCATCATGTGTGAGCATTTTGTTCTGAGGTGTGTCTCTTGTAGACAGCATATAGTTGGGTCATGTTTTAGTATCCATTCAGCTACCCTATGTCTTTTGATTGGAATATTTAATCCATTTATATTTAGAGTTATTTATTGATAGGTACTTATTTATTGTTACTTTAATTCTGTATGCCCAGGTTTCTCTATTCCATCTTATTATTACAGCAGTTCTTTTAGCATTTCTTGTAATGCTGGCTTTGTGGTGATATATTCCTTTAGTTTTATTTGTTTGTTTGTTTGTTTGTGTGTGTGTGTGTGTGTGTGTGTGTCCAGGAAGGTCTTTATTTCACTGTCTACTTTGAATGATAGTCTTGCTGAATATAGTAATCTTGGTTTCAGATCCTTGCTTTTCATTACCTTGGGTATTTCATGCCATTTTCTTCTGGTCCATAGAATTTCTGATTAGAAATCAGCTGACAGCCTTATGGGAGCTTCTTTGTAGGTAACAGTTTGCTTTTCTCTGGCTGCCTTTAAGATTCTCTCTTTGTCTTTAATTTTTGGAATTTTAATTATTATGTGTCTGGGCATGAGCCTGTTTGGGATCTTCTTGCTTGGGGTTCTCTGTGCCTCCTAAACATGTGTGACTTTTTCCTTTACCAGGTTAGATATGTTTTTTATCATTATTTATTTTAAACATGTTCTCTATTCTTTTCTCCCTTTCTGCCTCTTCTGGAACACCTGCTATGTGAATATTTTTATATTTTACATTGTACCACAGCTCCCTTAAGCAGTCCTCCTGTTCTTTTTTGTTTTGTTTTGTTTCTGTTTTTGTTTGTTTGTTTGTTTTGGGTTTTTTTGAGTGATTTTTTTTCAACCCTGTCTTCTAATTCACTGATTCGATCCTCAACTTCCCATAATCTGCTTGTATTCCTTCCAATGTGTTCTTTATTTGTGCTATGTCATTCTTTATTTCTGTGTTCAAAGTTTCTATATCTTTTCTCATGCTGTTGAGCATCTTCACCATCATTATTCTGAACTCTATATCAGATAAACCGCTTATCTCTATTTCATTTATTTCTTCTTCTGGAGAATTCTCTTGTTCTTTCATTTGGGGGTTGTTTCTTTGTGGCTGCCTGTTTGGGTTTGTGACTATGTATTAGGTAGATCTGCTAAGTCTTTCAATCTCTAGTGTAGCACAGTGTCAAACACTGTTTCTGACTAATTAGGTCAGGCAAAGACTCAGAGCCTCCAGAGACCATGTCTGTCTCCAGACTGATAGGATTCCATCTTGAATTGTCCTCAAGCAATTGTCCATAGGTGTGGCAAGAGTTTTTTTCAATAGGATTTGGCAGTTTCTTCTGACTAGAGGCTAATTGTTATTCTCAGTCTTTTAATAGGTCTCAGTAGCTCCACACCATAGGGCAAGTGTTTCCAACAGGCAAGGCCACCTGTATAGAAAATGTCTGCATGAGAAAGATGACCTCTGCAACATGAGGGTATGACTCAGAACAGGAAACTGGGGTGTCTGTCTTCTTAACTCTAACCCCATAGCCCTTGATCTTGGCTTCTGCCAACACAGCTCCAGGCCACTCAGCTCTACCCCTGCCAGAGCAGAAGGTGAATGGTTCCACAGGGAATTTTGAGCATTGTCCCTTTAACATAGTCCCTGAATTTTCCAGCTGTCTCTACCTATCAGACAGCAACCCTGCTGCTTTTTACAGCCAGATGTTATATAGATACCCTTCTCAGTTCTGGTGCTCTCTGCTGGGGAGCCCAGCTTGAGAATTAGACCCCAGAATTCTCAGTGGCAACTCCACACAGCTACGATATATCTTAGGAACTTTAGTTGCAGACTGTGGGAGGCCAGCCAGCCCTTTTGTGCCTCTACCTCTCCTACCATTCTCTATGTAGTCTCCATTTTCAGGCTTTTCTCCAGTGAGTCTTCAATTGATTTTTCAGGAAGTTTTTCTGTATTTTAGTTATAATTTCAGTTTGGTCCTGGGAGTGTGTTCATGGAGCATCCACTTACTCTGCCACCATTTTTAATAACCAAAGATATTCTTTGGAACACAATTCGAGGACAAGAGAGGCTCTGAGCACAGTTGTTTATGGGGCAGATGAAGATAGCACAAAGATGGGACTCAGCATCTGCCAGGCAAGAGGCATTCTTCAGGAAACTATAGAGGATGTATGAAGAAAGGCTTTGAATTATTTTCAAACCTAAAAAACAA